ATATATATATATATATATATATATATATATATATGATGGTCACAGTGTCCTTTTTTCAACAAAGCTCAGAGTTATGTCTTAAAGTACAAAGTGTGATAAAGCATAATTTATTATTTTCATATCAGCCTTATTTTATCAAAAGCTGGTTCGTGTTAGTTGTTACATGATACTTCCACGTAACTAAATCTTATATAGAAGTGCCCAAACTTTGCTACTCTGCCTTAAATTACGAAAATGCGATTAAAAAGTAACATAAATCTTTTAGAACGCTGGTGTCTCCGCATAAGTCGCGCACAGATTTTGGCCAGAAAGAAATCAATCTGTTTAAATCCATGTTTGTTAGTTACCTTGGACATTCTCAAGCATAAGCATAAAGCATAAACCGTTATTCATTTCTGCGTCAACTTTCTCAATTTTTGCAAATGGAATGTTAAGTCGAAAATATGATTTCTATTCCTGACGAAGTTGTTTCCGAGCACAAAAATGCAGAAGAAAATTTTGCAGTACTGTATTTCAACATGGTAATTTCTAAGATACTTCAAAATGGCATTTTTTCGTTAGACACAACCTCGGTGTTCGAGGAATTTTGAAAAGAATTTTTGTTGAAGTTATCCTTAATCAAAGCCTTTTTGCTAATGAAAATTTATACTTCAACATCTCTACTGCGAGAATCAACAGTACACTGCGTTGCACTAACATTGTTATTGGGAAATTTGCTAATTTCTCAGCAACTGCAAAAGCTACAAGATTTGCGCTTGATCGCACGGTATGACAGCGGCGCCACACGATACAACAGAGGCGCCTTGTAATAGGTGCACCAATGCTTGTAACTGTAAATTAATAATCCTCTAGCCATCTGAAGATCAGTATGTTTTGTTGTCTTCATAAAGGTTTGTAGCGTGCATTCTAACAAAATGTTCCTTGTTCCGTTGAATAAGGGCTCAAGCAACCTTTCTTTTGTCAGCTACTAACACTGACGTCTCACGCTAAAACTTCAGTCTTTTTTGCATCGCAATCACTGCATTTAAACCTTATTTGCTTGACAGTCTTTGCTACTATTCACACCTACATCGTCAGTACCGCTTCGTCAAAGAACGTTAACCGCTTCCCGCCTCACTGAAGCGACCATAGGAACGGCACAGAAAATCGATTATTGTAAAGCGGATGGGCCTACCAGTGCCTACATCAAATTGTTATAGACAGTGCAATTTTACTACGACAAATTAAGCAGATCGTTGAGACCTACTCTGCAGACCCACCAACGTGATTATACTACATTTTTGCAGCCAACTCCTCG